GTTTGTACATATATACATATGTATATAAGTTTTATTTAACAAACAGGTCACAGCTTCAAGTACAAATAACTTAAGCATATATTTAATGCATATAATGTATGTCTTGAAACATAAACCATACAGTGATCGCTTGCTGATTTCAGAGCAGGATATTTTTACTACTAAACCGGAGACATGACAGAAGACGTGAGACGGACGGAAAAGGACAGACGGATGGTGTGAGAGAGAAAGAGTGAGAGAGTGAGATATCAAAAGGGAAAGAGACATAACGTGAAAGCAGAGACACTTCTTTCGGCTTCGCTGCAAGGACAGAAGACAGGCAGCATCTGTGTATGAAATTCCATCTCAGGTTTAATATACATTGAGTCTATGAAACTCAGTCCGAGGCAGACTACCTCCAGCCAGGCCGCAGTGGTCAGGCCGCGGGCAGGATAACCCTCTCTCTCCCTCTGTTTTAAAATTTGATAAAGATCAATTGCCATTAGTTTCTCATAACTCGGGAAACTGAGCCCAGACTCTGGAAACCTCAGCTTGAGCTCACTATCAGCAGGTCAAAGCCATTAAAACCTCGATGGTGGTTCATATTTATATACCGAAACCTCTATGTTAGCATCACGTTAATTCTGATATTAGTTATTTGTACATATATTTCCATGCAGTCTAAATCTCACTCCAATAGTGAGATCTTATAGTGGCTTTTAGTTCATGTCTGGTATTTTACTTTTATTTATATATTACTATTTTAATTTAGCGTTTATTTTTTATTTTCAGTTTTCATTTGATTTCTTGTAAACATTTTAGTTATTTACTTTTGTTACATGCACTTGTATTAGTTTTTGTTGTTAAAATGTGTTTAATTTAAGTTTAGTAACAGTAGTTTTATTTATTTCAGTTTTTTTAAGTTTTCTGGTTAAGTTCTATCTCATAGCCCAGACTCTGGAAACCTCAGCTTGAGCTCACTATCAGCAGGTCAAAGCCATTAAAACCTCGATGGTGGTTCATATTTATATACCGAAACCTCTATGTTAGCATCACGTTAATTCTGATATTAGTTATTTGTACATATATTTCCATGCAGTCTAAATCTCACTCCAATAGTGAGATCTTATAGTGGCTTTTAGTTCATGTCTGGTATTTTACTTTTATTTATATATTACTATTTTAATTTAGCGTTTATTTTTTATTTTCAGTTTTCATTTGAATTCTTGTAAACATTTTAGTTATTTACTTTTGTTACGTGCACTTGTATTAGTTTTTGTTGTTAAAATGTGTTTAATTTAAGTTTAGTAACAGTAGTTTTATTTATTTCAGTTTTTTAAAGTTTTCTGGTTAAGTTCTATCTCATATTTATATTTTATAATATGAATATTTTAATATAGGTTAGCAATAGCAACATTAGTCTGCTAGCTTTGAGGTAATCTGTTTGCTAGTTTGTCTAAAATAATCATAACAAAAAAAAACATTTTACCTATACATTTTCAAATCCCAGAAAACCAAACCAAACTCATCTTATTCTTGTTATTTCCCCAATAAAAATTCACTTTACTCATACGCCTTTTTTACTTCCTTTAACCGGCAGTCTGCAGACACAGAATTGTGGGATATCGAAAGCATGAAGGAAGCATCTGCGCTGTCTTTAAAAACAACCAGATGATGACATTTTTGCAGACGGGATGTTACACAAACACTGAATACGGACATGTCTTAATGCCTACTCTAGGTATGTTGTCTTCCGGTTTGGACAAACACACTTTCTTAACAGCAACACAGTTTATACAAGACCCAAAAATCATGCAACTTACTTTTTCCCCTTTTAGAGCAGTGGTTCTTGACCATTGTGACTCTAAGGCCCCACAACAAAAATTAGGTTACCTCATTTATCCAAAAGTAGGCCTTATTTTAAATCACTTCAAGTCATCTTGAGGCCCCCTGTTTGAGAACTGCTGTATTACAGTCATGGTTACGTTTATAGTTTGGCTAAGGTATTGGACTCTAGGTTTAGATTGAAATTGTTAATTTGTGTACAACCCACAAATTTCTTTTCATCGTTTTGTAGGAATTATTGCAGCTTCTCGAGGTCAGCTTGGCTTGGCCGCAGCCTTTGTTTCCCAATGGGACGATCAAAATCCTGTGGATCTTGACTTCTGAAAGTCAGCCTATCAGATCGGACTTTACCATATTAGTTTGCGATTGGCATCAGACAATCCGTGAACCAGTGGGATGATCTGTGGGTGAATCTACAGTAATGTCCACCACTGTGGTGAGGAAAGGTGCTCTTGTTGGTTAACGGAGGAAGGGTGTGGCCCAAACCACCTCTACACTTACTTCTCATCATGTTCAGTGGTTGTTTTTATGTCGTATCGTAAGTCTTTTATGGTTAGCAAATGCAATCCCCGTTACTCTTATCTCTGAGTGTTCGAAAACCTGCCTCACCTTGGTTTGTGGCACTTACCCTCAGTAACAGTAGGCTTTCCACATCTCTGTAAACACACCGAAACCTCATCACAAAGATGAAGTAAAGGGCCTCTGTTTCTTCCTCGTATGGTGAGCGCTGAGAGGAGAGTGGCTTTTGACAACCCGAGTGCAGCCACTACACCGTCTTGAATCTGTCGAATGGTCACCATAGGCCTCATCTGCTGGAGAGTGTGGCAAACAGCTGTAGATTCATAAAGCTGGGATCGGGTTATTGTGGGTGATATCACTGATACCATCTTGCCACTTGTGAAATTACAGCATCTATTTGTCAATACCATCTGTCTGAAAACAGCACACCTAGACACGACCTCAGCTTTGGGGTTAAAACTCTTCTGTTTCTTCACCCAGGCTGTAGCGCTCAAATGTCATTCAGTTTAAGCTGCATCAAAAACCGTTGTGCTAGGTTTGACATTGATGCTGCACGCTATGACAGAGAGCAAGATTTGTAGCACATACTGACTTGTCTTTTTTTTATTTTATTGAGCAAGGCTGCATTAAATGTAGGGTAGGTGATTTCGGAGAGGCTAACAATAGCTAGCTAGCTTTGAAAGCATAAGAATCCCACTCTCCCTGCAAATCAGTCTCCAAAGCCACACTTTCAAAACACATGAACGCTCAAAGGCAGACCAGAGGCTAAGCAGCGACATGATGAGAGACGGCGTTGGTAAAGGGTTGAATGCTACGCTGTCAGATTACCTCATGTCTCATTCACCAGTGGGAAAACATTACAGTACAAAGTGCATAATGTTACAATAATAACGCCTCCATTCTCGCTCGGTCTGCAATAGCGTACTGGAAAGCGCTGATGACGTATCATGTCTGCGTAAACAGGGTGTGTGAAGGTATGCAAATATATACGTTGACAGGCAGGTAGGACAGCCTATTTCAGCCCTCGGACCAAGGAATATGATTGGACGAACATATTATTGGCCTACGCCTTCCACAGACTATATAAATACATATAAATAGACCATTTAACTTAATGATTGCTGTCGGGATTTGAAGAGACTTTCAACCAGCGTAAAAAAAAGGTTTTGAACCAAATCACCTACTCTGCCTTGAAATTTAAAGTGACAGTAAAGACAATTATGATCTCATAGAAGATTTCTGTTTCAAATAAATGCTGCTCTTTTAAATGTTCTATTCATCAATGAATTCTAAAAAAAAAAAAAACATTGATAATATTCAGAAATGTTTCTTGAAAAGCAAATCAGCAAATTAGAATGATTTCTGAAGGATCACGTGACACTGAAGACTAGAGTAATGGTGCTGAAAATTCAGCTTTGCATCACAGGAATAAATTACATTTTAAAATATATTCAAATAGAAAACAGTTATTTTAAATTGTAATATTTCACAATATTACAGTTTTACTGTATTTTGTAATCAAATAAATGCAGCCTTGGTGAGTATGACAGACTTCTTTGAAAAACATTTAAAAATATTACCAGCACTAAACTTATGAACGATAGTGTAAATATATAATTTTTTTTTTAGTATAGAAAGTGAATGTATATATCTATCCCAAAACAAATCCACAAATAGATCTGCAAAGGTGCTCTAAAATCACCTGAAAAGGAAAATATTTTGAACACTAATCTCAGCATTATCAGTTCCTTGCGAACGGTACAAGGAAGTAGATATGGAAATTCTCAGGATTTTCCAGCACAAGTCAGCAGATCAGTGTTTGGCCACAAGAGAAGCTCAGACTGAAATGATTTATCTCAGAGTCATAGTGGCCTTCCATGTCATAAAACTACACTGTAAGAAACAGATTTGCGTTAAATTACTTTTGCGATTTCGATTTATCCTTTCTTCGTTTCATATAGACTTAAAGTCATAACTAATCCTCCAGTCCTGTCATGTCTATGGTGAAGTGTGGTATCACAGGGCAGGAAGGTGACTGGTCTGTGGTGGGAGCTCTGGTTTCTTCAGATGACATTCACCTAGTACTAGTGCAATAATAATAGTATCATTTGGCTTGATTCTGATTTGCTGTTGGCATGATCCTGCAAAATGATGTTTTAAACTTTACTCTTTTTTTGTTTATGTTCTGATTTATGGTCCGTTTCGTCTGATGTATAAGAGTGAATCTCTTGATAATTAAAATTTGGTTATTTACTCCAGGGTTCCCACACATTTTGGCCTCCATGACCTTTCCAGTTGTGTGTGTTCAACAGACCTTAACCAGGTCATATGCCATACTGAATTTAACACACATGAAAAGGAGGCTGTGAGGGATAGACTTCATCTATCATTCGTAATTATAATGGCACAAACTGTATAAAGGTCCTAGATCATGTAATTTAAACAGCTTTCAAAACTGTTTTATGGAGACTGTTTACTGAAATTTTGTTTCATCAGCTGAAAAACAAACAACAGTACAATCCATTTAATGCAGTATAAAGTACATGCTACCCTGACAAATGTCTATGGATAAGGATTTAGTTTACCTATATGCATTTGGCAGACACTTTTATGCAAAGTGACTTACATTGCGGCAATGGCCATCAAAAAACCAACAACTTCCTCTGTCGCCTGCTCACTTCCTGTTTCTGCGTCTGAGGGCCCAACGGTGCAGTGATGATTAGCCGGGCCTTTGCGTGACAATCAAGCAGCCAGACACACTTAGTTTCCCCCATTCAGACCGGAAGCAGCACTATTGCAACGGTAAACAGTTTCTCACTTCTGCTGCGGCAATCACACAAGCTATCTGAATGTCTTTTAAAATGTGTATTGTTTGCTTCTTATTTTTGCAGAATCATCTGTGAAATCTGTCTGCGCCCTTTCAAAAACAGGAAGTGTGACTGAGATCTGATAAAGACCCTCTCAATTTCATCCAGATCACATGGGCATCAGTCATCAGGTGTCTCATTGAATATTTACTGTCCTCTGATTTCTCATCGTTTCAGGATTCACTTGCATTGAAGATAAACATGGTTTGTGTCAATTGCAGTTTGATGTGGCTAGCAACATATTGGCTACTGAGAGCACAAAAGCATCAAATTAGCATAAAATAAAATTATATATATATAAAATAACTTCTATTTGCAAATGCATGGTTACATTTGAAAAATGCATTTACATTTGCAAACTGCATGACATTAACACTGGGCTGGATGGGGTTTATGGTAATACTTTAAATTTAAATGTTTGGTACACAATGTTGGTTGTGTGTTGGGCTGCCGTTTAATGTCTGCTGTAGAATCTGGATCTTGAAGTAAAACTAGTTAAACCATTGCACTGAAAAGTAATTGGTGAAACAATTTTCACTCAGATATTGCTAGTTAATTTCACAAAAACTTATAAAGAAATGTTTTTTGCAAATTGCTGCTTTTTATCCCACAATTATGAGAAAAAAAGAATTGCGAGATATGAACACATAATTTTATGAAGTAAACCTTGAATTATGAGAATTATAACTCACAATTCTGAGAAGTATCCAAATTGTGAAATACAGACACAAGAGATAAAAAGTCACAATTACCATTTTTATTTTTTAATGCATGATGAAAAAAAATGGATAATGGGTTGTAAATCCAGAATTCTGAGAAAAAAGTCTGAACTCTGAGTTTATATCTACACTGTTTCCAAGTCTGTTTGACCCTTCGCTGGAAGTTTGATTGACAGGTGATCTGACCAATCATAACACCGAATCTGCCATTTTTGTCCGACAAACAAACCAGACAGGAGAGTAGATTAATGTTGGTGGACTTGAACTTAAAAAATGGTGGACTGACGTCTTTCCGTGGTTGAAACAAGATACCTTCTGATGTTCATTCATGTTTATTTTGTGCTATAACTAGTAAAGAGAAAGTGATGATCAGTTCACGTGTCGCTTGAACTGAGGCTCTACAGCGATCTGTCACAACACATTAAAGAAAGGGAATGAACCCATTTTAAAGCTGAGACTTTGATTTATACGTAAAGTAACCTGCTCTGTCTTGTCTGTCGGCGTGTTGTCAGTGTCCTCTTTGCTCTGCGATGTCATTTTCACTGAACATGATGTGCGTTGTGGATTGTCGGACATAGCAACAGTAACAAAGGGGGCTGGTCTCTGCGAAGTGTCAATTGGGCTACTTTTATACTACTGCCGAAGGCTGTTTTCTTAGTCCACAAGATGAAAAAAAAAGAAAAGAAAACACCGCCACCAAACCCCTCCCTCCCAGACCAATGTTCCCTCTAATTTTTTTTCTTGCTGAGCAAAACTTTTCTCTATTGGTCGAACATTTTCGGCCACTTGAGCAAAAACATTCTTTATACCAGACCTGTACAGTGCGCACACACACAAAAACGTGTGTAACTTTTAACTCTAATGTGCTATTAATATTTGATTTGACCCTTGACCACATTTTAGGTTATCTGAGAAAACATTTTTTTACAGTGCTGTTACCAAGAATTTATTTTTTATTTTTTAAAGAACAGAACAGTTCAATTCTTTGTTATAATATTATATAATATTATATCATATAATGTCTAATATAAAAAATGAAGCAGATATTGCTCATGAATTCACTTTTTGAGGTCAATTTTTTATTAGGTTTATAATATAATATAATATAAAAACAAACTGAAGCATTTAAACATAGAATAGAATAGAACAAAAAACTAATTTAAGCATTTAAACAGATCTGTAAACTAAATATTTTCAAAAACGTAAACCTATAAATTCTTATATAGTTATCTAAGTAGAGTTTAGTAAAAGTGTACTTTACTACACCTTGTGTGTGACTGTAAATGTCTGGGAGTTTTGTTATCGTTCTGTGCTCATCATCCGCTGCATGCTCTTTAAAACATTTTCCTCCCTCCTTTGTCCTCCTCCTCCCCCTCCTTCATCAACTCTAACAGCTGACAACTTTGCCACATTCTTCATTAATAAAATAAAAACATCAGTGCACAATTTTCCACACCACAATCTGTCAAGCACATCTTACCAACAAGAATACACTTGTTCACATCCTTCTCTTCACTCTCTGAGGCAGAAGTCTCCAAACTCATCCTTTCTAATCATCCTATTACTTACCCGCTTGATCCTATTCCATCTCATCTCCTTCAAACCATTTCTCCTGCAGTTGTACCTGCACTCACTCACATCCTTAACACATCCCTTCACACTGGTGTTTTTCCCTTAACATTTAGACAGGCTCGTATAACCCCTCTAATTAAGAAACCCACCCTTAACCCATCTTTTTTAGAGAACTACAGACCGGTTTCCCTTCTTCCTTTCATTGCAAAAACACTTGAACGAGCTGTGTTCAACCAAGTCTCTGCCTTTCTCACACAGAACAACCTCCTCGACAGCAACCAGTCAATGTTTCAGAAGTGGACATTCAACCGAGACTGCCTGGCTCTCAGTTGTTGAAACCCTAAGACTGGTAAGAGTAGATTCCAAATCTTCCAATACTTATCTTGCTGGATCTGTCCACTGCTTTTGACATGGTTAACCACCAGATCCTCCTGTCAACCTTACTGGCAAAGGGCATCTCAGGAACCACACTCCAGTGGTTTGAGTCTTACCTCTCAGATAATACATACACATATAATGTTCCTGTGGCTCAGTGGTAGAGCATTGTGTTAGCAGTGTAAAAGTTTGAGGGTTCAATTCCCAGGGAACACACATGCTGGTAAAAATGTATAGCCTGAATGCACTGCAAGTCGTTTTGGATAAAAGCGTCTGCTAAATGCATAAAACATTTTTTTAAATGCATAAATTTAACTACTGGGGTTCCTCAGGGCTCAGTTCTTGGACCACTTCTCTTCTCTGTCTACATGGCATCACTAGGTTCTGTCATTCCGAAACATGACTTTTCATATCACTGCTATGCTGATGACACTGATTACACAACTCTACCTCTCATTCCATCCTGATTATCCGACGATAGCTGCTTGCATCTCAGTTTGTCTAACAGACATTTCTTGCTGGATGAAGGCCATCACCTTCAACTCAACCTTGCCAAGACAGAACTGCTTGTGGTTCCATCAAACCCATAGTTTCATCACAATTTCACCATCCAGTTAGGCACATCAACCATAATTTCTTCAAAAACAGCCAGAAACCTTGGAGTTATGATTGATGATCAGCGGACTTTCTCAGACCACATTGCTAAAACTGCCCGGTCCTGCCGATTTGCTTAAAGAAGATCAGGCCCTTTCTTTTGGAACATGCTTCAAAACTCCTTGTTCAAGCTCTTGTTCTGTCCAGGCTGGACTATTACAATGCTCTCTTGGCAGGTCTTCCAACCAGTTCTATCAAACCTTTACAATTAATCCAGAACGTGGCAGCAAGATTAATTTTTAATGAGCCGAAAAGAATGCACATCACACCTCTGTTTATCAATTTGCACTGGTTACCAATAGCTGCTCGCATAAAATTCAAGGCATTAATGTTTGCCTACAAAATCACCACTGGCTCTGCACCCCTTTTCCTGAATTCATTACTTCAGACTTATGTGCCCTCTAGAAGCTTGCATTCTGCAAGTGAACGTTGCTTTATTGTGCCATCCCAAAGAGGCACAAAATCACTTTCACAGACTTTTAAATTAAATGTTCCCTCCTGGTGGAATGACCTGCCCAACTCAATCCGAGCAGCTGAGTCCTTACCCATCTTCAAGAATCAGCTAAAACACATCTCTTCCATCTTTATTTTACCCTCAAACTCTAGCACTCTCTATTCTAATTCTATTCTTTAAAAAAATTGCCCCATTAGACTTGCACTCTATTCATTTACATTCAATTAACAAAAGCAAAAAAGGGCATCTAACACTAGCTTGCTCTATTCTTTTTCTATTCTATCTGTTTTCTTTTTATTTATTATATAATTTAAAAAAACTTGCTACGTGTACTGCGTTAAGTTAACTGAGACTTGTTATAGCACTTGCATATCTTTGCTCTCTTGTTGATTTTGATTGCTTCCATTGTTCTCATTTGTAAGTCGCTTTGGATAAAAGTGTCTGCTAAATGACTAAATGTAAATGTTTCTACCACTTAATCAAGCCACTCTTCTTTCAAGCATGATGATGTTTTATTTCATCGTAATTGTCATAACGTTTGCGTTGGCTCTCATGTTGAGCTATTTTGTCCGCAAACATTAAAGTATTCAATTTCTACAGTGACTGATTTGGAATGCACACGCACAGCTTAGAGTGAACATTGCAGTAGCCCCTCACTGCAGAACAAAGATCCCCAGACGATTTTGTCCAAGGTGGGACCCCCTGGAAGGAGGTTTTGACCCCTTGGAACAAACATGATTTTGATGCATTTTATAGTCATTTCCTTGTGATTGGGCTAGTTTTGGCCATGATTCCATGATTGGGCTGGTTTTGTTATGAAGACCTGGCAATTTATTTATTTATTTAGTCATTTAGCAGACGTTTATATATATATATATATATATATATATATATATATACTGTATATAAGATTTGTGAGATAAAATGTTGCAATTACCTTTTTAATTACTTTATTCCATGGTGGAAACAGGCTTCAATAAGTAAAAGTAAAAAAAAAAATTGAAGCAGAAAAACTGAAATAGGCATTCGCACCATTTTGCAATAGGAGTGTACCAACATTTTCTTTGCGTCTGGCTGGACGATACATATTCAGGTTTGTGAAAGCACTCGTATTGACTTGGTACAGAGGTACAGATACTTTTGACATCTCTAGTATTATGTGTGTGTGTTCTTCATATATATATTTTTAAATATGATTATTTTTAGCATATAGGAAAGCCATATTCATAGAAATTAAAGTCATTACTCACTGCCTCTTTTGACTATTTCTAAAGAACAAATGTAGTGAATTGGTTTGAGCACTACTGAATTTAGGTCTGAAGTTTCCATGAGTCATTGGACTTGTCATAACGTCTGTTCACTGCACCCAATCAAATAGTGCTGAGATCATTTTCTATGATCAGTAGATTCCAGTTTATCGATGGAAGTTTTGACTGTGCAAAGAAAAACCAACAGGAATAGAGAAAACTGGTTGAGGATGATTTAGATGGTGTAACTTCCCAAATACCTGGTGAAACTGGCTGACCATCATGATATATCTGGTGACATTGGTCAGTCAAAAAAAGTCTCAATAGTTAAAAGAATATTTCTCCTAAAAATAAAAATTTGCAGAAAATTTACTCCATCCAAGATGTAGATGAGTTTGTTTCTTCATGGGAACAGATTTGGAGAAATTTAGTATTACATCACTTGCTCATCAGTGGATCCTCTTCAGTGAATGGGTGCCGTCAGAGTGAGAGTCCAAACAGCTGATAAAAACATCACAGTAATCCACAAGTAATGCCTAAATTATGAATTTGTTTATTACAAGCACCCAGCTTTTCACTTCACCAAACAGTAATTGATGTACTGGAGTCATGTGGATTATTGTAATGTTTTTATCAGCCGTTTGGAATCTCATTATGACGGCACCACCCATTCACCGAAGAGGATCCGTTGTTGAGCAAGTAATATAATACCATATAGTTTGTATTGTATCTTGTCTGGGTTAGTTGGCTCTCATAATGTGCTAAAGTAAGGTGGCATTGAACATCACCAAATTCATGATCACCTACCATAGGTAGGATACCACTTTGAGCTACTTTCAAATGTCGATGCTATAAAATCCATAATAATCAAATAAATTAACCTGAAGAGTTTAACAGCAAGAATGATTTGAGAAGATTTTCTTCTGTGAGTCAGAGTGGTACCTGTGGTTTGTTTATATGTCATCATGGCCTTTATATTCTCATGACGCCCACGTTTCACTGAAATACAGGTAAAAAGTTTTTTCTTCCTCTTTTTTTTTTTTTTTTTTTTTACTTGTATGTGGGTACTGTGTGTGGGTGTGTGCATGTTTGTACCTGAATTGAAGGTATACATTTGATCTGTTCATGCATTCTCTGAAAATGGAACCCATTAGCTTGTTATTTGTTGCTTGCTTCATGCTCTACTGTTTGACCTATACAGGACATTTCTTGTGATCTCATCATAACTAAAGTTGTTTTCTCCACTTTAATTTCTCATGAGAAGAAAAAAAAAAAAGATGTCACAAAATTTTTCTGGTTAACCACAAACTATTTAATTGCAATCTGTCAAACATCATGCAGATGTCCCTCGAGTGAGCTGCCAATGAAACGGACCACATGTTCAGAGTCTCTAGTGACCGAGATGATAAAGTTGTAATCTACAACAATAAAGTTCCGACACTGTGTCAGACACTGTTTTAGAAGCTGATTCGGCCACTGACATAAAGATATTTCAGCTCAAGTCTCTAAACAAATAAAAAATTAATTTGTTCATGTATGTTGCATCAGTACATATATATTGAAATGTCTTTTGTTACAAGACTAAGAAAAACAAGCAACTTTTGAGTCAAAATCATATTAAAATTAAGCTGTTTGTTAGCTGCAGTGTAAAAAAGTTGAAGATTATTGGAGTATGTTTTACAAGAAATTTCAGTCTTTCTACTTCAGAAATAGATGTTTAATTCATGTTACATATAGTTTATTTGTAATTATTAGAGAAATGGGTTGCACTTTATTTTGACAGTCCGCTTTTAGACATTCTATACTATGACAATACGTGTCAGCTAACTCTCATTATAGTAATAGTAGACTATTAGGGTTAGGGTTAGTAGAATAAGTTGACATGTACTTAAAAGTTTCTTGTAGTTAGTAGAATGTCTCAAGTGGACCAAGGTTATTTTCGTAAACGAAAACTAAAACTAAGACAAAAACGATCGATGAAAAAACTCTTTCGTAAACTGAAATAAAATAAAAATGACAAAATAATTGAAAAACTAAAATGAAACTAAACTAACAACAGTTATTGAAAAACTAACTATAATTATATAATATAATATATTATATATAAATATTATATAAAACTATATAATTATCAAAAATAAATAATCGTTTTCGTAATCATTACATTCTCATCCCTTGGCGGAAAAATGTGTGGCACCGGCGGTTTAGGGAAATACCTGTAAATGGCGCATTGCGCACGTGAGGTTATCTTATGGAGAGACGCAAAGCAGTTTAAAGCACGGGTCCTGCACGGGTCCTGTTTGGTAAATGTGCACCAGCAGTACTTAACAGAACACTCGACCCATTATCCAACAGCAGCAATTTAATTCTGTACCAGACCAGACCCGTTTGACAAAGACTGCGAGTCGTGAACTGCACCCGCTTTAAATCTATTACATCAGGTAGGCAAAATTATTTATTTTCTCATATAACACAAGCAATCAAACCAATATTAGGCATTCAAAGTTGGTGCTTTGAAGAAAACCAGACACGCAGCGCAACGTAA